CGAGGTTGGCTAGGTGAAATGCATATAGGTGCTCCAATTCCTTATGTTTTACTCCAAAGTAATTAGTACTATGTTATGCTAAAAATTCATTTTTTATTTATAATAATAAAGTTTTAATTGTCTTTAGCACCATAGAATACCATATTATATTATATAATAACTAGTACAACGCCCGTGTATTACACGGGTGCTTGCTATTTTTTTCTTAAAATCTAAAATTAATGAGAAAAAATAGTTGAAAATTTAAATACCTTTTATAAAAATATATATTATTATATATTTAGTATGACACTTTTTATTTGTGCAACTTACATGTGTTATATTATAATAATTTTTTTAACTTACAACATATAACTACATTAAGCATAAATATATCAATTGAGAAATAATTTTATATCTGTAATAAATTTTAATAAATATTATTATTTTTTATTATTATAAATATAAATATAATTTATTTATTTTACATATACAATATGGATGTCAAATCGAAGATCATAAAAAGATGATTAATTTGATATATTATATATGTAAAACTGATACGAAATACAGAAGTTATCGACTTTTAAAATACATTTATAATTCAATAGCTAATTGAAGGAAACAAATCAAAAGTCAGGGATATATTAGTCACTTAGTGCCTCAGTATATAAAAATACAAAGAAATAAAGGGTTATATTAGTACAAGTGATTTTAAAATACCTAAGTTAGCTAAATAATATTTATGGAATGTCCAAACCTAAATTATTAATTATTAATATATCAATATTATTTGTCCAAACCTAATTACGAAGCATGATTCTTTGCCAAGTAGGATTCCGAAGCACCAGAAGCAGCTACGTAGGCTCAGCGCATTCGGGAATAATATGTGGGGAGGATAGTACTACATTATTGGAATTTATAAGTACTTGTAGTTTATTTATAATAATTAACATGACATCTATTTTGTGTCTATAAATAAGTATAGTTTATTTAGATAAAAATACAAATTAACAATTTTGGATTTTACCTAGTATTAAACAACAAATTAATATTAGTCAAACTACTATGGTCACATCCTTTGGTATATTTCCACAGGTGGTATGCTGATTCAGAAAAAAAACAGAAAATGTTATATTACTCAATCAATATTATTACCAAAAGTTCTAATATAACTTGAGAGTTATATTTGTCAAACTATTATGAGATTACCAAGTTAGTTTTTCAATATCTTTGGAATGTCCGAAACTAAAATTATTAATTTAGAGTAATATTATTTTTTATCCAAACCAAACTACGAGGCATGTTTTTTGTCAATTAAGATTCCGAAGCGTCCGAAGTTGTCGTCTAAGCTCAGCGCATTCTGTAATTATATATAGAGAGATTTCTACGACTCTACATAGACAACGACTAATCCCTGCCTAAGCTGAGACCTAATGACTTTTATTACCTTAATAACACATGCTCATCATGGAAGAGAGTAATTAACTACATATAATAACAATTAATACAATATTAATAAGCTCCACAAAGACATGAACAAAGCATTACTATACCATGATATTTTTCATGTCATTTGGGAAATTCGTGCAATGTGAATATAACTTATATCGATTTTGCTATGAAGTCAACCTTCTATATACAACTTGTAAAACATATCGTATTAATAAAATATTAGTGTTATTTAAGTAATCAAAGAATATGATATAATTTACTTGTTGTATATAAAAGAGCTCAACTGTGGAGTCAACTGCTGACTTCATAGCAAAACCGAACTTAGTACTATTCCAAAAATAAGGTCAAACTTGCAGCCAAAAGTCTTAATTAAGACCAAACAAATGTTTTTTTTTTTACACTATTTAGTGCCACAATCACACACACAAAAGAGACAAAACGATGTGCAAGTTTGATTTGTAAATTTTTGCCTACCAAATTGCTCAACTTCTATTGGTTGTGGCATAGTAATTAATAAAATTAAATTACATGGCTTTGGAAATTTATTTTTCACTGTCACTATTAAGATGGCTAGAAAATAGAATAAAATCATCAAAGTCAAAAAAGGCATTTGCCGAAAGTCGAATTGAAATAGTGATTGGAATATCCGAACCTGAAATTAATAAATACATGTGACATTTATCAAACTTCATGAACACATCACAACGAAACGTAAACGAGTCGTTCTTAATATCTAAAACTTAGATTTGATAAATAGGAATTGTAAACAATTTCTCAGTTTTGTTAAACGAACGAGTCGTTCGTAATATCTAAAACTTAGATTTGATAAATGGGAATTTTAAACAATTTCTGCTGGTTAAGGTTGTTAACGAGCTTGTTTGCCCGAACTCGTTCATTAGCACATTAACTCAAAAAAATTGAACTCGGCTCGACTGGTTTACAGCTCTATACATGTCTAAATATAAAATAAAAAAATCGTATTTCATATCAAGTTATTAAAAAAAGTACTAAAAGATACAACATCTTCTAGCTCCTAGATTGATGCAAATACCATTAAAAACCTCCAATTCACTCAACATTTCACCTTAAACTAATCTATCTTCTCCTATAATGTTGAATCCCATTTTTAAACTTGGACCCCTTATTCGAAAATTTCGAACTTCTATTCAAACGAATATGATCGTGAAGCAAAATATTATGATCGTCAATAGTACTACTATTCTTCAAAGCCCTTTCACGATGCAAGCGACCCGAAAGCTCCAAGCGCGCCCGATGATTGGTCGGCCTTAATGATCTCCTCAAATGCTCGTCTTTATAATTTCGTCTCCTACTAAAGCGCGATCCTCGGTTTTCAAGATGCCTAGTTTTTTTTCGAGACCTTTCTTCTAATTCATATTCGTCCTCGCTAGAGCTTGTTTGCTCGTCAAATTCTTCAATGTCCCTCTTTCTCCTCCGCCTTCTTTTATGTGCTCTTCTTATCGTTCGGAGCTTGTGGCAAAAATACGAGCAACAAAAGTCGAATGCAGAGAAACAAGTGGAAAAACCGGCACACATGACTTTGCAAAGTGTGCAGCAAATGCATTGGCAGATTCCAAGGTTGTACAATAGGTACAAGAATAAGAGCACTGCATAATCAAGCATGATATTATGATGAAAAAAAAACACGCAACTTTTGCCGAAAAATCGACATTAACTTTTCCAAAATCTACAAAAGTAGAAAGTTAATGGATTGTTTAATCTGAGTTAAGCTTCGAATTGAAACAAATCTACACAAAAACTCACCAAAATAGACCAACATTGCCACCATAACAAACTTGAGCAACTGAGCAACGCAGAAATTTTCGACGTAACAAACGAAATCCCATGTCGGAGCACATATCGAGCTGCATAAACAAAAAAGAAAAATTGAAACTTGTCTTATTATTATTATACAACCTCACAACAAATTTTTCATGATCTATCACTCTAGTAAACTAAGTAGAAATCATTATCAAAGTAGAAAGGGAAATTTTTACGAAAAATCGCCATGAGGTTTGAGCGACGACCGAAAAAAAAAATGTACATTCTCCTTTCATAAGCAAGAAACTCGTCTAGAAGTTATCGAAATCGGTAAGGCTTATTGTTAACGGTTAGACAGACATACTTTTTCAATAAACATATATAAATGAATTATCATACTCTAAAAATTACTTCGACGAAATTACGACATTTCATATGCAATTTTCGTCATACAACCTAACGGTTAGGCTGCATATCGCGCAAGAATTTGTGAATAGAAACTCTTGAAATACTGCTCTTGGGCTTTAAAGACTTAAAGTGAAAATCAAAACGGCAAAGTTTAAAGAGTAAATATTCAAAATTAAACAGAAGTCAAATATTGTAGTAAAGTGTACAATGGACTATATATAAGGGAAATGCTGAGGTCTCGTTACGGAACCATTCCATCGGGATAGTTGATCTAACGGTTACAAATCTCGACAGGATGGTTCCATAACAGAACCGTAGCATCTTTCTATAAAATTTACTTGCAAGATTTTCCAGAGAGGAACTCAAGAGGATGGCCAAGGATTTTGTCAAGAGTTTGACCCAACCCGGAAAACATTGACCCGACCGCATTCCCCATTGATATATATCATAAGTCCAATTCACTGCTAATTGCACCCCAGATTTTTCTCACGTTTTCCTGAAAAAAAATAAAAAAAATTAAATAAATGAAAAGCAATTGGTTTTGAAAAATCTCACTTGTTTTCTCTGAGAAAAAAAAAAAAAATAAATAAACTGAATTTGAACAAATGATTGAAGAATACCAGTTTGTTCTTTTCAGTTTCCCCCTATCAGTTTCTTCGAGTTACTATTTACTATGAGTCGGTTATTTTGTACTGTTTTTGAACAAATAAATAAATAATATATAAAAATAAATATCATAAATATCATATATATCTATACTTTTGTAACAAAATTTTTTATTTACGTTGAGATATGTTATATTTTTGTTTATGTTGTTTTTTCAGTTCAATATAAATTTCTCGTAAGAAAAATTTCATATTTATATTGTGAAAGGTCACTTTGTTTTTTTTTCTTTTTTTTTTTTTTTTTTGGTCATGTGAAACTATACACGTATGTAGAAAAAAATGTTTAACTTTTGGTATGCGAGGTTATTGGCATTTTAAAACCGCAAAATGAAAAATAAGAAGTGAAAATGACTATTTTTGAATCACTACCATTATTAAGATTCCATTAGTTTTTTTTTTTTAAGTCCCTGAAAAATAAACATAATGGCAGCACCACAACAAACTGATTTGCACGAGAAACTATTTCTTTTTTCTTAAACACGCACACTGCGCTAAACCCTCTTCGTCATTTTTGCACGAGAAAGTAATAAAATCCGCATTGCACCAAAAATAAAATCGCCACAGTTAACCAACCAATACATAGTCAAATACAGAACCAAAGTCTCACATTTCCTTTGAAAAGTTCAAAGCGTAGCTAAAAAATAACACAACATTTGGTTCATGAAATCATAAAAAGAGTCACACAGCATCAATTTTTTCATGAATGGAACTAAATCAGTCCATCCTTCCCTTCAGAATTCTTTCGGTTACTCCAGCCGGTGTGCTGCAAAAACACGAAAAAAATTCACGCAAACCATCACATTCCAATAAAAAAAAAAAACTGTGGAAAAAGAATTTGGCACTTTAATAGATGAGTATTGAAAAGAAAAAGGCGAGTGAATTTTCAAACCAACTTACACGAGATAAACGTGGCCTCCCCAACCACTCAGGCAGTCTCGGTCCACTGCTGATAGCAGGGCTTGTGAGATGGTCTCGAATAATTCTTCGGGTTCCTACATGTATTTAGAATGGGATAATAATTCTAACTTAATTAGATTTTCACAAAAGAAGAAAAAAAGGATCCGTGAAGGTTTATGTATTGAATCGCTTCCCAACGGCATGTTCCGAGTTCAGTTAGATAATGCTTTATAAGGATACTGCTGGGAGATAAAGTAAAAACTGAAGGAAGTTGTTATGGTTCAACCAAAGGACGTGTAATTTATCGACTCCCAAACAAGGATTCGCAAGATCAGGTGGTTTTTATTTAATACGATTCGAGTGTTTTATATACAGAAAGAGATGGAATAGAAGATCCAGAAGACAGCTAGGACACAGTTAACAACCTTATCATATCAACTCATCACAAGGATGAGAAAATGCTTGATAATCAAGAAGATATAAGGAAAGGATCAAAGGAAAAAATTGGGCATGCTTGTTTATTAAATATCTCTTCAATCCTTACTCAAAAATCTAATTCAACTTTTAATCAATCCCACCATCCTTAATATTATCAATATGATTAAATAATACAAACCAATCATTTTTGCACATCACATCAACTTTAAATCACTATTCATCTACTAACCTAACTTTTAACTAACCATAATTTCACATCATCTCTCTCCTACATCCAATCAGCTTTCATTATTTGTTTTTTAAATATTATTTTAATGTACATTAAAAATCCGACTAATAACTAACCATACTAATTTTTAAGTATTTGGAATACTGAGACCTCGTGGAGAAAGGAATATAATAGGATATTACTAGGTCTCACTTAAGATATATGAAAAACAGCGTGAAAATTACTAACCATGTCTGGTTTGAACATTGATTCACAGGCACCATAAAGTGACTCTGAGGCAGTACCAGAAACGACAAAATCTTTGGCAAGTTCCCTGCATTCAGAAAAACGCAAAATGGGCAATATGAAAAGATAATTTTAAAAATACAAGCATTAAGCTTATACGAAAATGTGAAGGCTACGATATACAAATCAAGATAGAGTGCATTATGTATCACTATGAGTTCTTAGAGTAGAAGAAACTCGAAATGTATGACCATATAATAATCGTCAACATGGAATTTCAAAATGCTGCAGATTATGGATTTTGTAACGTAATTACTTATCGAAACTTAAGAGCATGCTTGGATATGGATTTTCCAAAAAAATCCAATTATTTTTAACCAATCACTTTTTTTAACTCAAATCTAACTCAATTGCAACTCAACACCACTATTCTCAATATCATAAATATAATTAAATAACACACTCAATCATTCTTACATATAACATCAACTTTAATTCACTATTCATCCATTTACATAATTTTAACTAACCATCGGTTCGCATCATCTCTCTTCGTTTACATCAAATTAACTTTAATTATTTAATTTTAAATATTATTTTAATATGAACTCCAAATCCCTTAACAACTAGCCATACCACTTTTTTCAAAATTAACCAAACAAAATCAAAAAAAATTCTTAAATCCAAGCATCCCCTAACTATTCCATATGAGAGAAACAAGAAACAACAGTAAGCCATCATTCATCTATGTCATATAACACTGGGGAGTTCCTATTTTCACTTCCGATCAAAATGACATCCTTTTAACCCACAACATTTTTGGTCCTCGTAGTTTAAGAAAATTATAACTTGTCAAATGTACAACATTCAGAGAAACAAGAGGGATCACACTTACTTAGCCCCAATAGAGTCCATGGTGCAGATGAAAGGTTTGCCTTCTTCACTCAATCCAGCAATTACAGGTTGACAGAAGTATGGACCAAACCTAAACCAGAAACATGAAATATAAAACTTAAAATATTATTCCCCGGCCAACCAAAAGCTCCTAGTTTACCATTCGAGAATAACACATCAATTCTACTCTAAATGATAGGAAGCAATCCATATCCCCACAAAACTAAAAGGTCATAGGAAAAAGCAGTAAGCAAAATGGTTAAAAGTCACTAAGAAACTTAAACTGGCCTATACATCAATTGGCTAATTTTAACCACATAAAGGTTTATAATAGAAATTTCAACAACATTGCTAATTTTTAACATTGCTATGTACCTCTTCTCATACAGAAGGGCAGATACAAGGCTGGCAAAAGTTTCAGGCTTCATATCCCTCTCTTCCCTCAACTGATATAGCTTGTGTCGAAATACGAGTCTCTGAAACCTTCAAATGGAACCAACAAAAAGCAGACATGTCAACTATATAAGATAAACAAAAATACCCAAATAAACAGCACATATCTTATGAGACCCAACAAATTATGCAGATATAAACACGTTATCCCTCAATCAATGCCTTCCTAGTTTAGGACAAACACCACATAGATCAACTATCTCGACAACTCTCAGCTTCCATACTATGGGCCATGCCTCTTGACAACCAAACATCCTTCCCCAATGCAGCACATATCTTATGAGATAATGAGACCCAACACATTATCCAGATATAAACACGTTATCCCTCAATCAATGTCTTCCTAGTTTAGGAGAAACACCACATAGATCAACTATCATGACAACTCTCAGCTTCCACAGTATGGGCCATGCCTCTTGACAACCAAACATCCTTCCCCAATGCAGCCAAGTGACGCTAATAACACAATAAAGGAACAAAGACACCTAAACATATGAACTCAAATCTTTGAAAACAAAAACTTCAATCACCAGCCCAAACACAAACACATGACTTTAACCCGAAACACAATTAACAAGTACGCGAAAAAAAAAAAATAATAATAATAATAGCTAAGACGAGCAAATTTACAAGGTTTGAGCATCAGTTGCGAGGCCCGAGAGACCCAGGAGGAGCTTATCATGTATCTGGTAAATCTTGTGAAAGTTAGTGCTGATGGTCTGCAGTTGGACGCCGAGCCGCCGGTCGCTAGCGATCGCGAAGCAGTTCTTCCCCACCATCGCCACCACAGCGCTACCATTATACTCGAATATCTGTGAAAATACTTCACGCGATTCAATTTCCAACAAAAACCCCCCAGAATAGATTGCGAACAAAAAACAAGGGTTTAACATACAAATGCAGATAAAAAGGAACTGCAAATTCGATTGAAAAACTTACCGACATCGTGATTGAATTGGATTAGGGTTTCGAATGCACAAAGTAATCGAGATGCGAATTTGTAATAGCTCTGTGAGGGTTTTAATGGAGTGAGTGTTTGCAGAGATCGATTATAGGTGAATTAGCTTGCTTGAGGGGACAAGTCGAGGTGATTGAACCGGGTCGGGTTTGCAGAGATTATCATGGGCCTCTACTGTTGGGCTTTAGGTGGACTTTGAGAGATAAGAGGCCTTCTGGATAATTGGCCTGTTAGTTGAAATTTATCCTTATTTTCTCTTCTTGTTTCTTTTT